GGCAGGCTGATCTCAGTGAGGGGCACACGAGGATCCACTGCTCACAACGCAACCCCTCCAGCGTGGGAACTAGAGCATCTGCAAAACCCTGAAATCACTTTAGCAAACTCTGTTCAGTTTTCTTCAAACTCCCACTCAACAACTACTAAAGCAAAAGCCAAGTGAAATAAAAAATTCCACGTGGATGGTTTCAAATTCACATTATTTGTGACCCCTCCTTCCATACAAACTTGGGCACAAGGCTGCAGGCAGGCAGCGGACTTCCAACTTCTTTCACCACTCCCTCTCAATGAGCGATAATCTCTTCAAGATGGCAACAAAACTGCAATTACAGCCCGTTTCCAGCTACCAGGACAGACGGGAACACTCCTGGGGGAGGGCTCCCTTTATTCCTAGCCAAGATCTTCATCTGCCTCATACACATCCAGCTCCTTCCCACCCTCCCTCCACAAAACTGCCCAACTTCTGGGACCTTTCCAGTGTTTCAGAGAGAGAACTATGGAATAATCCAGCCCTCGCCCGCTCCCGGCCCTGAATGAAGGTAACGTAACTGCCATTGCCATAACTCACACACCACAACCTCTCAGAGCCTGTCCCCTCCTGGTTTGAGATCATTGAGACCTTTTTGCGATGGCTTTTCATCTCTGTATCCTCAGTCTGGCAAATCATTACTTGGCACATAACAGGCCTGTGATAAATAGTCGTTTTAAACTCCCCTAATTTCTATTAAAACAGCCAGGAATTGGGCTGGTCAACTAAGGTCAGACGGCAGTCGGGCTGAAACATGCCCAAACTTCTGAACCAGGAAGCACGAATATGATTTAGTGGCTTGTGTGTACACGTCCCATTTTCCTCTCCAAACCCCACTCCTCCACTCTGGATAGCTCAATTCTTGTTTCAGTTCTGAGACTCTGAGAGCTAGTTTGCTTTTATCTAAGCACATTAAAACAGAAAGTCAAGCCATATTATATTTCAAAATACACAAAACCAGAAACTGAATCAATACTTAATAATATGGATTTCACATAAGCCAAAGTTTTCAGCTGCTGAAAGGAACTGTTCATACTGGGCCAACTAAAATGATGTCCCAGCTGCAGCCCATGACATTGCTCTAGCACCACAGCATTTTTTAATCCTTGTTTTACACTCTTAATTAAGAGACAGAGTAGAGAGGAAAATCAAAGCCCAGAAAAGGTTTGCTTTATTAACAACTCCAAGAATCACTTTCTTTAGTTGCAAAGAATTGTAAAAGGAAAAAAATCTGTTATCACTAAGATCTAAGTGGTAGAGCAACAAGCAGAGCTCCGGATGGGGCTGAGTGCCCACTACCAAAGAAAGCGCAGAGGCTGCCGTGCCACACGGAGGCCCATCTGGCCAGCCAAGGCCACCCAGGGCACTCGTGTTTTCTCCAGAAAGTTATTCCTCAACCTGCTGGGTTGGGTCCCACTCCTCCTGACTTGCACCAACACAAAGAAAGCCTCAAAACTATCAGCTTTGCCTTTTTAAGAAAATAACAAAACAAAACAAAAAAAGGCTTTGAAAAACCAGAGATCATACAGGAAGCACACCTTTTTCAACAGAGGAGAAAATACCTCACCTTACGACAAAGGATCACATCAAACATCTAAGACTGAAGGAGGAAATACTTGAAGGAGGCAAAGAATGCAGAAATTAAACTGATTGGAAGCTGTGAATAAGTTCCATGTTTTACATTTCACAATTTATATTTTTTATTAGAGTCCACAGTCTGCTAAATAAAAGCAGTAAACAAGATATTTCACAAAC